ATTACTTATGTCAAAAGGAGATAGGCGAAGCAGTCAATAGCAGTCTGTTCTCGCCTATCGATAGATAGCAGGTTGCTACTTGTGTGAAAACACTGTGCAATAAAAAAAATTGAGCACGGATCGTACAATTTAACTATTAGCAACTTTTTTTCATTTAGACAATAATGTTTCTTTCACATCCCACATGGTACAGTCAAATCAAATAGCAATTAAATGTTAGCTCTATTACAATTTGAGTTATTTTGTAGGGAAGTGAAACAACAAACATTTTACATACATCTCCATGTTGACACTCCCTAGAAAAAGAAATCTCATTGGGCATGCATGCATGCATACTCGCTCTAGTTCAAAAAATTCAGAAGCATGATTGATGTCTTCCCCTCCTAACACATAATTAGAGGTAAGCCAATCTTTATTAAATCCCATCGCTTCATTCCATTATGAACCTGAACTACTATCATAACAAATTTTGGCATGATGTATCACCAAGAATATAGAATTCACATGCTCAATCAAAATCCTTGAAGCCACATGTAGTTTTGACCATACCCTACAATGGCTAAAAATAATTTGGTAGCTACAGTCTAAGGGACTAAAATGAAAAGCCACTTAAATCACTCACAGAAAGAAGGAAAACATCATCATAACTCAACAAATGACGTAGAAAGAAAGGTTAAAATATACTCCATTACCAACTCTTGTGTAAAAATGAAAGGTTAAAAGAAAGCTAGAACAAACATCTTCATATATAAATATACAACCAGTTTGGACAACAAAATGGATTTCTCGTTTCATTATATTAACTCGGGCCTTGAGAAATCACCAAATTGTAGAGTTCAAATCTATATAATATAGAAATGATAAATCGGCGGATGTGTACTTGCTTCCATAATTTTAGTCAAAGAAATCTTCTAAAGTAGTGAGATGTTACGACATACCTAGGGATGACAGTGGATCGAAACAGGGGCATCGGGTATAGTCTCCATTCTCGTACCCGTTAAAAAAAATTTTGTCCATCTCCGATCCACCCCAATTAACAGGTATAATTTTCATCTTCATTCTCATCTGCGGATAAATTTGTAATCCCCACCCCCGCCCAGTCCCCGCCCAATCTCAAGTCTAACATAATTCAACACTGTAAATAATCTAAAAAATCAAAAAAATTGCATGTCACCAATTGAAATTTATCACATAATTCTTTTCATCAATAAGGACTAGCATTTGGTATACTGAGTAGACAAGAAGTCTATCCAACACCAAAGCAAAAAGTCTATCCAATAATTTTCAAAGAGCAAAAATTATATTCAAGTAGAATAAACTCAAAAAAATCAGCAAAAATCATATCTAACACTATAATCAAAATTCAACAAAGGTCATATTCAAGTAGTATAAAATTAAAAAATTCATAATATTGCATATCTAATACAGAAAATCAGATGTAGCACATGAAAATTGCAGATCTAACACAAAAAAAATCAGAATAAGCAACATCTAAAAATCTCGTATCTAACACTCCATAGATCCAAAACAAAAATCTTCAATAGCTACCACAACACAAACCCTTAGATCTAACAAAACCCATCACAAATTTAACAAAAATCATAAAAAAAGAACATAAAGATAATAAATCTGACCTTATTGGACAAAGGAAAAAATAGGCCACAAAATTTGAAATTAACTTTATAGGTAGGCGGGAATGAGATTGGCTAGCAAGGGCAGGGTGTGGATGGGGCGGGGATAAGTGTCAGTCCATCCCCACCTCCATTCTGTGCGAGTTTATACGGGTATTCTCATATACGTTTACCATCCAATACGTATAATCCATCCCCGGTCCAAATAAAATGGGTTCGGACGAATACCCATTTTTTCCGGATCCATTATCATCCCTAGATATACCCCCTGCAAAAGCTATCACCTGTAAGCTTATAAGTCATCCAAATACTATCACTACTTCAAAAACACCAGTACCACTCTGCAACAATGCTATCACTCAAAACCTACTTAAAGTTGTATATAATAAATATACAGAATCGGAGTTCATAGCCAAAAAAAATCATCAATTACAGAGAACTTAAATCGCAATATTTAGCATTAAAGTAAAAATCAAAGTTGAAATCAAAACTGTAGAATGTTAGATTACATGTAACAAACTAACAATAGTTTAAGTCAACCTTGTTATAGAAATTGAGAAAATTCTAATGAACAGAAGAACAAATGGGTGGTGAGTAAAAGTAGCTTAAAAGTGTAGCAAAATCCAAATACAAAAAAATAGAATGCACCTGTGCATTTGTGTTCTGTGTGGCGTCTGCACCTGGACAGAATTTCAGAACGGCCCCAATTAGACAAAGAACTCAGCCACAGGTCGGTACCGCCTCACAAAAAAAAACTACAAAAAACATAAAGAACACAATCGTCATATCGAAGTTGAAATCAAAATTGGGTGTGTGCCTAATATGTGTTATGTGTACCCAAAAAAAAAATCCAGCAGGAAAGAGAGGTAGGAGAGAGAGGGTTCGCATAATTCTTACATGAGAAAAACAGAGTTTCTGGAGAAAAACCAGAGAGTTGCTGGACAGTAAAGGAATTCCAAAGTAGGAAAAAATCAGAGCTTTTTTTGGCTTAAAATAGGAAATGAAGATTGTTCTGCCCATGGAACTGAAGCTCCATTATTGGAGTCTTGTTTTTTTTTTTGTATGTTTAGTGTCTGGATTCTCAACTGCTATGTCTAATGTCTGTAGACCACCAACATAAACTTGTAAGGCACAAAAGAAATACGTAGACACAAAGCAAATGCATGACATTAGTTTGACCAAAAATACAAAGAAGAAAGAAAAAAAACAGAGGAATTGCAAAACGAATTTAGATAAAAAATGTGGCCCTTTCATCATCCATCAGGTCCAAACCATGAAAGTTAACTCATTTGAACATCGATAGAAAAACCAAGTTCACATAAATTCTACAAAGATCGACATCCCTCTCACTTTTAATTTTATCCAAAATTTATAATAGATCAATATAATAACAACATACAAAGCACAACAAAAAGATTAAAGTACACCCTACCTTGCTAAATGGCCAAAACAGAAAGTAAAATGGAGACTTTAATTTCACTTACAATTCTCTGCAACTCTTGAATCTGTATACCCAAACCTCCATTTGTCTTAGACCTTCATTATCGACTGATCCAATTATCCAAGCATAGCCATGACATGCCTATAAGGTGCATACAAACAAAATATTTTGATGATCAAATAAAATCATAATTTATAGGATCAAAAGATTAACATTCACAGGGAAACAAACTAATTATGGCCATTGATCAATTTGAATTACAACAATCCAATCCAATCCCTTTGTGCCAAAAATGGGCCCGTGCTATGTATAAGAAACAGGGGTGTGTTTGTGTGTTGTGTTAGAAAGTACGGATACAAATACGACAAATTTAAAAAATATGGGACACGGGTATGACAATGAGACATTTATTAAAATAATATAATATATTTTTTAAATAATAATAAAGTTGTAATATATTAAAAATAAAATATTTGTTATAACAATATTAATAATAAGGCATAACAAATATTATTTTTTTGATTAAAATTGAAATAAATCAAATTAAATATCCACTATTTTTATCAAACATCATTACATCTATAATGTATTAGCATTCGTAGTATATAAGTTACTTAACAAAAAATATATTAAAAAAATTAAATTTTTAATATTTAAAAGTTATTTTTTTAATAAAAAAAATTATGGGTCGTGTTCTGAGCATATCTTAGACATATCTTGATTGTGTGTTAGACGTATCCTAAACGTGTCCGACTGAATTTATTATTCGTGACACTTCTAATTGTGTCGGACACGTGTCCGACTGTGTCCTGGCCGTATCTGTGTCGGACACGTGTCCGATACTATCACGAAACCCCCATGGGAAGTATATGTGTTACCTAGGTTGTGTGTGATCTGCTAGTTTGTTTGTTTGTTTGTTTTGTGTGTGTGTGTGTGTATGTGATCTGTTAGTTTTTTTTTTTTTTTTTGTGTGTGTGTGTGAAAGAGAGGTGAGTCAGAGAGTGCAATTGAAGAAAGATGAAGACACAGAGACACAAAAAAGGAGAGAGGGAAGTACTTGGGATGCTTGCTGATCGGTGGTGGGTTGAGTCATTGCGGAGAATCGAGAGGTGAGAGGTAGAAGACAGATTGCATGAGAGAGAGAGAGAGAGAGAGTTGTGCATAGGGATAAAAGAGAGTTGCTGGGTTGAGATAAGGAGAAATAATTAGACGAGAGATTGGAGTCTTTTTGTATCGGTTACTATAAGATAAGGTGAGAGAATTAGATGAGAAATAAGAGCGTTAAAAAAATTTAGTATGAGAATCGTCGGATCAATAATATTAAATCGAATTGAGCTACAAAAAGTTACAGACAAATTAAACTAGCTATTTTATTATATAAATAAATGCGTTTCAGTTTTTTGTTAAATATATAATACATTATAAAGGCATTACATGGATATGAATGACATTCGAATAGTGCCAGCAGATGAACAAAACTTCCATTAACCTCTGGTGAGTGACATGCTCCCAAGGATAAAAACTAAAGAGCACTCAAAATTAATTAATTAATTAATGATGGTGGTTTGTGAGTCCCAATTGATCCTAATTAATTAATTAACTTGGTTTGTTGTTTTATCTACATGGGTCAACCCTCGACCCAAAAGACTTGTGGACTGGAGAAAGAGAAACCACCAGATTAAATAATTGAACCAACATTCCACCTTTAATAGTCTGTCTGTCCCATTACTCATTGGCTAATTGTCAATCCCAACCCCAACCCCAATCCCAATCCCAATCCCAATCCGCTGGGTTACAATTTAATTAACTTACTTTACCGACAAATGAAAAAATCAACAACTCCAAATCAAACAAGGACTCCCCATCATCTACCTAATTCCTATTAATTCCAGCCCCTCTCCCTCTATCTCTCTCTCTATCTTCAAAATATGGCCCGAAAAGTCCGTAGGACCTTTCTTTACGTGTTAGTCTTAGTCTTCTTCTTGGCTTCTGTCTATCGCCATCCCTTTTGCGATTTCATCTCCGACGAACTACTCCTTCCATCCTCCGTCCCACTCAAAGCCCCTCAGACCAACGTAGCCCATCAAGCTATCGATGAAAACCTCACTCACCAGACCACCCCTCACGTCACTGCTGCAGTATCCTCTGTCCCAACCTCATCATCAATCTCCACCGTCTCAATCTTATTGCAGGATTGGCAAGTCCTCGTTATTGTGTCGCCGGAGACTCCGGTGACTACTGATTTCGATGAATTTGCTTGTCTTTTCCTAAACAACGATACATCTCGGGCGACACCAGCCGGAGAATTATCTTTTCCCAACCGGACGCTGTTCAAGTGCGAATTACCTGTCAGAATCCGGCGACGATTGCCTTTGCGCCAGCCGATTTTGATTAAATCAACAGGCACTCCGCCGGATAGAAAAACCCCGGCACCGGAGTTGCTACGATGGAACTACGTGGTGTACGACTCTCTTACCACCGAAGACGACGTCGTTCTCTTCGTTAAGGGTCTGAATAATCGCCAAGGTAGTGGTCGAGACCCAAAAGAATTCAAGTGCGTTTTTGGCGATGACCCAATTAACGGCGTTAGAACAGCCGTTACAAGCTCAGTGCAAGAAGTGTTCCGGTGCCAACGCCCGGATTTAACGGCAATTACTCCTTCTGGCGGGGAGAGAATCAAAGTCTCAGTCGAACTTTCCGGCGTAAACCTGATGGTTCCGTCGGTAGCATACTACACCATCTCCCCCTCGCGCAAGGTAGCAAACAAAGACGAGAAAGTGAATTTGTGCGCGTGTACAATGGTTTTCAACGTGGCCAAGTTCTTGAAAGAATGGGTTGTGTACCATTCGAAAATTGGAATTGATAGATTCATATTGTATGATAATGGCAGCGATGATGATTTGAACGAAGTGATCGAAGAGTTAATCCAAGAGGGTTATGACATGAAGACACTGTTTTGGTTTTGGCCTAAGACACAGGAGGCTGGTTTTTCTCATTCTGCTATTTATGCCAAGGATTCATGTATGTGGATGGCTTATATTGATGTCGATGAGTTCATATACTCTCCTTCATGGTACAAAGATTCCTCACCCCCATCCAAATCCTTATTAAAATCGTTGTTGCCAATGCCCAGAAGGTACTCAGATGATCATAATGAACCATCATCATCATGGTCGTCATCTTCTTCTTCTTCTCTGTCTTTGCCAACGTTGAACCCACGGGTTGGGCAAATAAGGATTGGGTGTCATGAATTCGGGCCATCGGATCAGAAGTCTAACCCAAAAGAGGGAGTGATGCAAGGGTACAATTGCCGGAGGAAAATGGAGAACCGGCACAAGTCTATTGTGTTGTTGGACGCCATTGATGACTCGTTGCTCAACCTGATACACCATTTCCGATTAAAGGAAGGTTACAAGACGAGGAAATTTAACATTCACAGCATGGTGGTGAATCATTATAAGTTCCAAGCGTGGCGTGAGTTTAAGGCCAAGTTTAGAAGGCGGGTCTCAGCTTTTGTTGTGGATTGGACAAGACAAACCAATCTCAAGTCAAATGATAGGACTCCGGGATTAGGGTATGTACAGGTTGAACCCCGAGGGTGGCCTCGAAAATTCTGTGAAGTATATGACAATGGATTGAAAGAGTTGACACGAAGATGGTTCGGGGTTGAGTCTCCGTCTGGCTACAGCATGGTCTGGCAAAGTTGATCCAGGCAGAAGTCTGTGGAGTGAGGTCTATCCTTGTAAAAAGTCTTGAAACTGAGATAATATTTAATTATACAAGAGACATCGGTTAATAATAAACAAAGGAGCAAGTGAATTCTTTGGAAATAGAGTTCATCTTACTCATTTATTGATCTTTTATTTTATTTGTCGGTAACATTCTGTATAGAGTTCACCTTACTCATTTGTTTATCTTTTATTAGACAGTAACAATATTGATAAGATGTTATCTTTACTGTGTTATAAATATTTACTCAAACAAAACTGTTGTACTGGCTCAATCTCCTTTACTGGCACATTGAGTGTGTTACACCAAACATACAGTAAAGGAATATTCTTTTGTGGGTCAGGACATGTAAAAAGAAAGGAATTTTCAGTTTATTTTTCAGTGTGTATTTGTGTGTGTGTGTGTGAGAGTGAGAGAGACTAGTTAACGGACGGTTGAGCGGGCAGAATGCAGAATGTCTTGTGTTGTGACCTGGCTAAACACTCCAGGGTGAGACATATATTTTACTTCTGCTCAAATGGCTTTAATCAGGTTGGTGTGGATTGGCAAAAAGCCCAGAGGCAAAACAAGTGTGGTTTTCAGGTAATCTTCTCAGTAAATCTCGGTGGATATTGTTCACTAATTTATTGAACTAAATCAAATTCAATAATTTACCAAATTTTGGTATATATGACTTGCAAATTATTGTTGTTATTGCATATATATTTTTAAGGGTGTCTATGGGTCAGATTACCCGTGGATCCCGTTATCCAACCCAAAAAAAAAAGGCTCGATAGTTGGCCCGCCCGAGCCCGAGCCAGAGTCTAATATTCTTCCGGAGAGAGCTTAGGACTACCTCAAACCCATTATCCGGTCTGAAACCCGATCTAATAACCCATCCACAAAAGCCTATTAAAACTTGGCCCAATAACCATCCCACCCACCCAGCCCGGTCAAAACATGGAAACAAGTTCCCAATGCCGAAATTCGAAGTTTTAGAAATTTATATATAAATAATGTATTCTTTTATTTTTCATATATTAAACATACACACTTTACAAAGTAGAGTTGTACAAATAATATATAGGTGGGTAAGTGTCAATCTAGTTGGGATATGCTCATTTTACTGTGATGCAGTTCCTCCCTTTATTTATAAATAAAATTATTTATTATTTATTTTTTGTACATTTTGACTCTATTTTTAATTCAAAAATATAATTTACAAAAAATATTAAGTTATAAAAATATTTATTATTTTTAAATGAAGTTGTATATAAAAAGTTCGTTTAGTAAGCCCACCCACAGCCTTATCCGCAAGCCACCCAACGAGTAGCGGGTTACGCTGTGGATAGCCTATCCCTAACCAAAGCCCAGTTCGGCCTACTCAATAACTCACCCGAATAAGAGTTTGAACCTACTCTACCAAAGTCTAACTCGAAAAAAATTTTGTAAGTCGAGCCATGGACACCCTTGTATATTTTGTAGTAACTTATAAATTCAATAATAAAATTATGTGGTTCAAATTTGTTTACCAAATTTTATATGTTAAGTAATTTGTCAAAATGGTATATATTAAATATTTTATGGAGTTAATAGATCCTACTACCCAATTTTATTTGAAATATAAAATTTAAAAAGTAATTTAATCAACATAACATTACTGTTCCAAATACATGCCACACTATATAAGTGGAAGTGACAAGAGTCATCATTTGACACGGCACTTGCAAGCAACAAATGCCTATAAAATTTGGTCAAATCTCATAGCAACGGATGCCTATAATGGCTGTGCACATGGTCCAATGCTAGGAAACTTATTGGGTATGTGTTATCCCCTTAACTCGTTGGCGGCATTGGCATGGGGTAGTCTCGCCTAAAGGTGTCCATGCCTTAGCCAAATTGACAGAAGTCTTAGGCATGGCTGAGAGAGACAGTCTATGCACATAGGTACATGAGTACAAGTCAGCATGTAAGCAAGATAGCTAGGTGACTTGAATTATGGGACAATGCTAACTTGGAGGACTAAGCCATGGGTTAGGCCATGGCTAAGCATGAAAGTAATATAATCAGATATTGAGGGCTCACGAGAAAGGCACATGCACAATATGTGAGTACATTGGGCATGTGCCCTACAGATGGTGTAGTTCAGTGCAGGTGCACAACATGTGACAGTCTTTTTCATATGCACACAGTATGCAGAGAAGTTACAAGCAATTATTGGCTTGGTCAGCAACCAGCTGCAACTGCCTCTGTCATAATCAACAATAGAGGGAGTGGCTGAAGGTAGTCATACATTCTTAGCAGACTTTGTGGGTGAATTTGAATTGTATGTAGTTGCCTAGGGCGGTTGGGCTTGTAACCACCACCCAGAATGTTAAAAATAAGAATGTCTGGGTCTGCAGTGCAACCAAGAGAGTTTGGCACATTTTTGTAAGTATACCCAAAACTGAGTTTCCTTATACTTTGCTAAGAAAGAGAGGTTTGGCCTTTGGCCTGTAAAGCTTATGTATTGTGTGTGAGTTCGTTTGTTATCCCTACTCTGTTCTTCTATGCATTTCTGTGAGTGTTTGACTGAGACTGAGACTGAGTGTTGGATCTCAGTGCCATTACGAGGCAGAAAATTAGTGAGAAATTTAACCCCATGACAATTGATATCAGAGCTTCAATTTGCGACCATGGTTGGTGAAATCGTTGCTGAATTGCAAGAACATGTGCCTCGTCTCAAAGATTTTTTGGGCGCCCCCGAAACTCTGAAAGTGATGCCGCAACTAGCGTGGTTGTGCAGATGGAACAACATGTTATTCTGATTGCTAGTTTACAGATGACTTTTGATAACTATGCGTCCAACACCGATACAAAGTTTACAACGATGATGGAGGACATTCTGTCCCTCATTGACGCTGCCAAAAATAATCTGAAGGAACTTGAAAACGAAATGTCCCTAGTTAAGAGGAACATGAATTCTAGACCTACAGTGGGTAAGAAGTCTTCAAAAATCAAAGTTCTAGAACCAAAGGCCTTCGAAGGCAATCGAAGTGCCAAAAATCTGGAGAATTTCTTGTGAGACATGGAGTAGTACTTGAAACTGCCCATGTGTGTCTGGTGGGGAGAAAGTTACAATCACCAATATATACCTTTCTGGTGACGCCAAGTTATGGTGGCGGATTTGGAATGAGAGCGATGCATCTTCTGGACGTCCAAAAATTGAGACATGGTAGATCCTAAAAAAGGAATTGAAGGATCAATTCCTCCCTAGTAATACGATCTAGATTGCTAGGGATTCACTCAAAAAGTTAAAGCACACTGGAACTGTTCATGATTATGTGAAGGAGTTTAGTTCGTTGATGCTGGACATCAAGATCATGTCAAAAGAAGACAAACTCTTCAACTTCATGTCCAGATTGCAAGGCTGGGCATAGGCAGAGTTGCTGAGGCACAGCGTACGTGATCTGTCCACTGCCATTGCTATTGCAGACAGCCTTGTTGACTTCAAAATGGGCAGCAATCAAGGCCCTTTTGATAAGAAAAAGAAGGATGGTGGCGACAGGAAAGATAAGGCTGACACTTCCAAAGACGCAAAGCAAGTGGATTGGAAGAAAAAAAAGAACATTGCTAACTCTAACAAGCCAGACAACAGCCAGAAGAAGAAAGTCTTTGATGCTGGTTGTTTTCTCTGTGGTAGGCCTCATCGTGTCAAAGACAACCCCAAGAGAGAGAAACTGAGTGTCCTCGTTACTACAAGTGGGAATGACAGTGATGATGACTGTCCCACCCAAGTTAACCATCTCCAGTTGCTGATTGTAATTACCATGGACAAAGTTCAGCAATCCTGCAAAGGCCTTATGTTTGTGCAGGCCTGGGTGAATGGCAAGGAAATTCTGGTCATAATGGATAAAGGAACCACCCAGAACTTCGTTGCCCAAAGATAGGTTGGAAAATTTAGCTTGTAGTTGTCTGAAAATGCTAAAAAACTCAAGGTGGTAAACTCTGAAGCAATGTCAGTGCGTGGCACAACAGAAATACGCCTAAAATGGGTCTATGGGAAGGCCAAGTGACTTTGATGGTTGTGCCCTTTGATGACTTTAATGTCATCTTAGGGAATGAGTTCTTTATCAAGGCGAAGGTGACACTAATACCACATTTGAATGGAGTGCTGATCACGGATGAGAAAACACTCTACTTTGTGCCTGCAATCATGGTAGACCAAAGCAAGAAAGAAGGTAAGCGGAAGATGTAAATGTTGTCCGCTATGCAAGTGAAAGCTAGGTTGAAGAAGAGCAAGATGACATACCTCGCAGCCTTGGTGGAGATCAAACTAGATGTACTGGTTAAAGTGTCTGATGCAGTGGCAAGTGTATTGGGGGAATTTGTTGATGTTATGCCCCTAGAACTCCCTAAAAACCTTTCGCCCAGACGAGCAATTGACCATAAGATCGAGTTGGAGCCTGGTGCAAAGCCTCCAGCCAATGCCCCTTACTGGATGTCGTAGATGGAATTGGCAAAATTGAGGATGCAATTGAATGAACTGCTAGATTCTAGCAGTATGAAGCCATCCAAGGCGCCATATGAAGCCCCTGTTCTGTTCCAGAAGAAACAAGATGGATCGCTGCATATGTGCATTGACTATCGAGCCTTGAACAAGTGAGATGTTGAAGGACCACATAAATCATCTGAGGGTGGTGTTTTAATGGCTTAGAGAGTACCAATTGTATGTCAAAAGGGGAAATGCTAATTCTGTTGCTAGGAAGTGATGTTCTTGGGATACTGGATTAGCAAAGGCCATATCCGAATGGATGAAATGAAGGTAAAGACAATTGTTGATTGGCCTGCACCAACCAAGGTGTCTAAACTGCGGTCGTTCCTTGGCCTAGCCAACTATTATTTCAAGTTCATTGAAGAATATTCCAAGAAAGTGCAATGTCCTGACTGACTTGCTGAAGAAAGACCAAAAATGGGACTGAAATGGTGCTTGTCAGATAGCTTTTGAGAAGTTGAAGCATGCAGTATCTTTCGCACCTGTGCTGAGACTGGTGGACTTCGATCTGCCATTCGAAGTGCACATAGATGTGTCTAATCATGCCATTGGAGAAATCCTTGTTCAGGAAGGACACCCTGTTGCCTTTGAAAGTCAGAAGCTGAAAGATGCTGAGCCGCGATATTCAACATACAAGAAGAAAATGATTGTTGTGGTGCACTGCCTTAAAATCTGGAGGCATTACTTACTAGGAACGAAGTTCACTATTGTGACAGACAATGTGGCGAACACTTATTTCGAGTCCCAGAAGAAGTTGAACCCAAAGCAGGCCCAATGGTAGGAATTTTTTGCTGAGTTCGATTTTGTGTGGGTGTACAAAACCGGGAGGCAAAATTAAGTTGTTGATGCATTGAGTAGGAAGGAGATCCAGGACTATATTGTTGCACTGTCTAGTGTGCAGACTGACTTCCTTACAAGAGTCAAAGAGCATGCCTAGACTGATGTTGCTTATGGCAAATTGAAGCAGTAGGTTGGCGAGGATTTGGTGCGCAGATACTGGATTGATGATGGTGTGTTCTACGCCAAAGGTGGCAGACTATGTGTTCCTATTGGAAGGAAACTAAGACTAGAGTTGGTGGGCTGGACATCCAGGAGTTGAGAGGATGTTTGCATTGTTGGCTCGCTCCTATTACTGGCCCAAGATGGAAGATGATGTTGAGGCCTATGTAAGAACCTATCTCATGTGCCAACTTGACAAGGTTGAGAAGAAGAAGGCAGTAGGCTTGCTTCGGTCGCTGCCCATTCCTGATAGACCATGACAGTCAGCCTTAATGGATTTCATATGCAACATGCCAAAGGTTGATGACATGTGATCGATCATGGTGGTGGTCGATTGTTTCTCCAAGTATGTGGTGTTCATTTCTGCACCTCATGTTTGCCCTGCGGATGTTGCTGCAGAGCAATTTTACAAGTATGTGATGAAGCACTTCGGGGTTGCCGGAAGATATAATCAGTGATCGTGACACCAGGTTCACTGACAAATTTTGGACTGCGTTGTTCAATTTCATGGGTTCTGAGTTAAAGTTCTCTACAACGAGTCATCCCCAGACTGCACGAATCAATGCCTTGTTGGATGATTACCTGCGGCACTATGTCACTGCAAGTCAAAAAAATTGGGTAGAGCTTGTGGGCACTGCTCAGTTCTGCTACAACTTGCACAGATCTTCAACAACAGGAATGAGTCCCAGTGAGCTGCCTATGGGACAATAGCCACTTACTCCTCAGGAAGTGGTGAAGCAGAGGACTGAAGGAAAATGTCCCGCTGCTTATCGTTTTGCCCGTTCCAAGAGGAGCTGCTTGACGAGGCAAAGGACAACTTGACCAAAGCTGCCCGACAAATGAAGAAGTATGTTGATCAAGACCGTAGACCACTGAAATTTCAAGTTGGTGATCTTGTATTCCTGAAATTGACTCCTGCAATATGGAAGAGGATCAACAGCAACGTAGTACACCGTGGGCTCGTTCCCAAATACGATGGCCCCTTTGAAGTGATGAAGAAGGTTGGGAATGTTGCCTATTGCTTGAAGCTGCCTGATTGATTTAAAATTTACCCAACTTTTCGTTTGAGTTTTATGAAGCCTTTTCGGGAAGACTTACTGAATGCTGGAAAGAAACAAGCCAGGAGGGCTCTGCCTATCATCAGGAAATAGTTTGACAAAGAAGTTGATAAGATTTTTGTCTCACCAGACCGTGGGTCAAAGTAAGAATAATCACATGACTGATTTTATGGTGCATTGGTAGGGTGGTTCCGAGGTAGACGCTAGTTGGAAAAGAGATGTGACTCTTTGGTAATTTAAAAAATAGATCAAAGAGTATTGGGACAACCTCTCGACGAGGATGTCAAGCTCTTCTGGTGGGGGTGGTTTGTTACCCCCTTAGCTCGTTGACGGCATTAGCATGGGGCAATCTCGTCCAAAGGTGCCCATACCTTAGCCAAATTGATAGAAGTCTTAGGAATGGCTAAGGGGGGCAGCCTATGCACATGAGCACGTGGGCACAAGTCAACATACAAGCTAGATAGCCAGGTCACTTGAATTATGGGGCAATGCTAGCTTGGAGGACTAAGTCATGGGCTAGGCCATGGCTAGGCAAGAATGCAATACAACCAAATGCTGAGGGCTCATGAGAAAGGCACATGCACAACGTGTGAGGACGTTGGGCATGTGCCCTATAGATGGTGGCAGTTCAATGCAATTGTTGGTAGGTGTACAGCATGTGGCAGCCTCTTTCATGTGCACACAACATGCAGGGAAGTTACAGGCAGTTACTAGCTTGGTCAACAACCAGTTGCAACTGCGTCTGCCATGATCAACAATGGAGAGAGTGGCTGAAGGTAGTCAGACATTCTTAGCAAACTCTGTGGGCGGATTGGAATTGCACCACCCAGAATGTTATAAATAGGCATGTCTGTGTCTGTAGTGCAACCAAAAGAGTTGGGCATGTTTTTATAAGCATACCCAAGACTGAGTTTCCTTATACTTTGTTGAGAAAGAAAGGTTTGACCTTTGGCCTGTAAAGCTTGTGTGTTGTGTGTGAGTTTGCTTGTTGTCCCTACTTTGTTCCTCGTGCATTTCTGTGAATGTTTGGCCGAGACTGACTGTTGGATCTTAGTGCCTTCACATGGCAGAAATTTGGTGAGAAATTTAACCCTGTGACAGTAGGTGAGTACAACATTGGAAAGGCCTTTCCCAACTTAAAGTTTTGGGCTTTTGATTGGATTTAGATTATAAAGTTTTGATTAGCAAACTTATATTTTGAGAATACGAATTCAGTGGAGTGAGAATGCGAATTTATTCGCTCTCAGTCTGCAAATTCAAGCTCCGAGCAACAGAGCGTTGGGTAGAAACAACGATTTTTGTGACTAAATAGAAAACTAAGCATGGAGATGGACGAGTATGATTGTCTCAACCTTAGCTTCGGACAGAATCTCGAAAATTTAGTCTGCTCAAGCAGATCTCTTAATGTATAGCTCATCGCTTATTGGGATGCGCTTGACTGAAATTTGAAAGGACTTGTAAGGTAATTAAGTTTATTGGTCCAGATTAACATATGAGATGAAAGGAGATGTGAATTGGTGACTGAAGAATTAAAATTATATGGATTTTCTCTATTGGACACCTTGACAAAATTGTTCAAAAAAACAAAAAAAAAACACTTTGACAAAAGTCTCGAAGAAGAATTCAGAGAAGGAAGAGAAGACCCCGGGCAAGAGCATGATGGGGGCATCGCAGACATAGCCCTCATGCAGTTATGGCCCTGCGCTGACCAATTGCAGTCATTGACCTAGGGATCCCTCCTTTGTCTTGGCTAACATACTCTTCCTCAAAAGTCGTGTCCAAGTTGTGTTCTAAAAAATGTTATATTCATCTAATTAAAGTTGGGACACGTAGCTCATGATGGGCGGCCATCAATATCGTCACAATCAAGGCAGTTGCAAGTTGGCGCATTTGTCAGAAGATAGCGGTGGGCAATCTCTAGGGCAGTTCGGCCTACCCGAATACTATGTGATAAATACCTGCATTACTTACCTACTGCGAGACTATCCGGTCTGAGATAGGTACCCTAGCTCATGAGAGCATTTACGTTTTCCACTTACCCTTTGTTCATTGGTTGGTCTCTTCATATTAATAGCTTGAGTTCATTCCATCCCATCCATTCATCATACTCATTCCATATTGACACGTATGTCAGTCTTTTTTAACTTCTCACTTACATATTTATACATATATTAATATGTATGTATAATGGCGGAATTAAGTACCAATTAAAGGGTTTTTTCGCAACATCTCTATTTGTTTGGTTTGAGACATATGTAAGGGGGAATAAAAATAAAAGGATTAGAAGAGCAGGTTCAGCCATTCTCCCAAACTGTTTTCACTGCATCATAGCTGTTGCCTGTTGGCTTACCAAATTTTAACAAGCAAGTACTATCCATAGGTCCTACTGTTTGGACTTTCAACGGATTGGTGTTTTGGTTGTTCGTTTTGATTTTAGTTTTTTGGTTTAAGTAGTTGTTAGTTTTGGTTGCTGCTTCTTCAATTGTTATTTTATGTGTGCAGTTTTGAATTGGATTTACCTATCTATCAGAAGATGATCTCTCTGCAAACACCCACAATTTGATATTGGTCTTCAGAACGGAAGGTGGACGGAGTTCATTGCGGGTGATGGCGATTGTGATGAGTCTAGTGGCATTGGAACCACCACTACGAAGCTCAACGTATTATCTCATTACTGGGTTAAGTCTCTTCTATAACACCCTTGGCTACCGAATTCAAAATTTTTCCTTTCCCTGTGCCGAAGCATAGACCCAAAAAAAATTAATAAAATATATTGTCACTAAATCATTGGAACAAGAATTAATTAACCAGCATGTTTCGGTTTTTATTGCCAAGTTCAACGTATTATATCTTAAGTCAATCATTAGTTCAATTAATGTTACAAATATATAACCATTGTTTTTTCAACCTAAAATTTTGATACATTAATCTGTACAAAAAATCCTTCTACACGTCTCTGTAACAACATGAAACACTATTCAAGACTCCTACTTGTCAACGAGAACCCAGAATTTCAATCCTCTTATTCAAAGGAGCGGCAACCTCATTCCTTCCTGTCAAATGTCAGAAGAATTACCAACCTATTCTCAGAGCTGCAATGCTAAATCTGGTTGCTTGGGCGAACCAATCTGCAAGCTAGAACTAGGTGAGCTTGGAGCCTGGAATCTAACATTTAAATCGGGTGGGTCTGGAAGAGAGTGCTGTCTGTGGTGCGGTGAAAATACCTGCTGAGATAGCTTCCCAGAAAAGCCAAATTCAGGTGTTGCATGTGAATTGGAGCCTCCATCTGGGGATCTGGCGTTCCTGGGGTTTAATCTACCCAAACTTCCTGACATGGAATCCGAATCAATATGCTCTGTGGGTCCAGGATGTGTGGATGGAGTGTCACTTCTGGAAACCCTGCCAAGCAATTGATAAGACTCTGAGGCCTCTTCCAACCCAGATTGTCCTGTTCGCAAGGATGACCTTGCCATCCCCGTTTTCGGTAAAAGCTCATATCCAAGTGCACCATTAATACCATTTCTATCTGCGTGAAGTAAAGATTTCTGTTGAGTCTGTTGGGAAGTTCCGGGTCTTATTATCCCAGAAACACCACTCGTCACTACAGTCAACTCATTTTGGGAATTCACTCTACTAGCAGCTTCAACCATGTGTTCCCTGTCTAGTAAAGAAGACTGGTATGCAGGGAGAGAATTTACACCAAAACTAGATGCAGTTACTGATCTGCTTGGATGGCCATCACGTAGCACATCTGTTGAAGCCTTCTGTTTTTCAGATGAAAAAGACAGTGGCTGCAGTGACGCTTCATTTTCTCCCACCCATCCAGGCCCAAACTTCAGCCCAGGAGGCAGTACACTCTCAATTTTCTTTGAAGCAATTTTCCAAGCAACAGGCCCAAGATTCGCAGCAAATCGAGCTAGGCTTCTTGTATAACCATGTTCTGAGGTGAGACCTACCTGAATTGCCAGGTGGAGAGAAACACAAATCAGCTTACCTTAATTGGCCAAAACCGTTAAGAAAGATCACACCAGCATCTAAGCATTATATGCACGTGGAAGATGGCAGAAATATCATACAATGCCACCAGCTTTCTATTATTTCAGTCAAAGTAACAGCCTATTAGATGAATTGCTATAGGTCCTCAGGACCTACTCAAATTCTCATAACTATCAGTTGCAATGCAGCAGCAGAGTTAATGAAAAATAGATGAGACAACCATTCAGCTGACAAATATCAGTTCAAGACTTCACTTAATACATCTTTACTTTTTTCGCCAAGAGCTAGTCTTCATTGGGGAGGCCAAGGGGTAATAATTCAATGAGGTGATATAAAGAGAATGAGAATTTTGCTTCCCCCCCCCCCCCCCATCTTTTCTATTTTCAGAAAAAAGAGAGCGTACAAATTTCCAAGATATAACGAATATCTCACAATACATACCGGCATTAACTGCTTCACACCTCCATCAAGGTAAGACAAGGCAGGTGGCTCATGGCTAAAAGCCAAAGATTGCTTATAGGTATCACGCCTGTTCTCATCTAAAGAAAACTGTTTCTTCCCATGTTTCATGTCAGCTTTCAGAATGGATGCTGTAAAATTGGAAGAGAAGAAAAGGCTCGACATACCAAGGTTTTAGAAAAGACTAAATAACACTAACAATAAAATAGAGCAAGCAAAAGCCCAAACCTGGAAACTCATCATTCCAATTGGACGACCAGTCAGAGTGGTTCTCACTATTGCGAGTACCAAGGGAGTTGAGTGCTGAATCAGTAGACTGAAACCTATGCAACATAGGTCCTCTTCTTAGATTGTAGGTATTAGACCCACTCGCATAATCTTCCGGACTAGCAAGCGTTGCACCTGAGGAAAGCTCAGGACCAACACGGTCAACAGGGGGGCTGACGAGAGATTTTTTAATGTGTTTGCTTGGTGGCCTGCCTCTTCTCACAATTTTCGGTTGTGGTTCACCATCATCACCTTCTTGCTTCAAATTTTTAAAGTCTCTTTTCGCCAGCTCTTGTATGGACCGTGCCTACAATAAGCCCCAACATTCAGGAATCGCGCCAACTTCAAATACAGAGCAGAAGTATGTTGTAACATTAATAATAAAGAAAATAGGAATGTTGAAGTTGGATATACCTGCCGAAAGTAAACAGTATCAGATGAGTTATACTGCATGGCATTTGAACATAACAAGAACACATCTGCCTGCATGATTTACAAGGAAGGGGTGGAGTCAGGGTACGGTCTCTGACTAATTGTCACCGCACGTACAATTCCCAAAAGATGGCCAAAACATAAGAAAAAAATAAAGCAAAAAAATTCATAAAACTTTATTCGACTGGACAAGCCAAAGGTATCATACAACGATATGCTGCTTTAAATGAAGCTTGGTAGAAACACAAACAAGATATCATATACCTTCAGACATGTCCAAAAATCATGAATAACAACACTAAGCCATCGCAGTCACCCTGTTAAAACTTTATTACATTACAGTAGACTTACTCCCAACCATAATCATGAAAACTGCACATATCAGACCCATTTCATCCTATTTATCAAATACTGTGATTACAATCATTCTTTTCGGTGCATTGTTTCGGCCACGTAGAAAACAAAAATGTTTTGAAAATATTACAGAAACAAAATGAAAACAGATAAAAATTTTCAGAATTTATTTCCAAATCATTCCGAAATATTGATCGAAATATAAATAAACATTTGATAACAAGCAAAGCATAAAATAAATTTCAAAGGGATTATTAGAAAATATTAGAGCATCCAACCCAAAATCAATTAGCAATAGGTGAAATGCCCCCTTAAGTATATAAATCAACTTTAGTGGTCCTAATTATTCGATGTAGGGTATAAACTCTCTTAACACCCTCCTTTGCATTGGATAGCTCGCACGCGGGGTCAACAAATAAACAATCAACCATGCATACTAGAAAATTCAGATGGGTAAAAGACTTGGCTCACTAACCACCTTAGACCCAACTCTCATATCATGTTAGAGTATCTAATCCAATCCAAAAACAATTGGCAATGGGTGGAGTGGGCCCTCAACAATATAAACCAACCTTAGTGATCCTAATTATTCAATCAATGATACAAGCACCCTTAACAAAAACAAAGCCAAGTATAGGCTGCATTCATACAAATTGATGAGATGTTTATTGATAATTTTCTTCAACACCAACCAAAAAGCCCATATGGCCCTATATTTTCGTTTTCTCCAAAATTGCTGTTTTTGTTAGTAATACATATGACATTTTCTGCATGAAGGGCACTAGAAGAGAAATGGAATAATGGTGAGCCAGAGATAGTCCCGAGTTAAAATGCACAAGGTAGTAGAGAGGAATCCACATACTATCTTTGAGGTGCATTACAAACTCCAGCCTACATTCTAACAAAGCTGCTAAAATTACAATAAAGCCCAAATCGAATTTCACTACTATGAAAAAACAAAATTTGTATACCACTATAAAGGGCCACTAAATAGCCATTACAGGCAAGATCCACCTTATAAAATATGCCTTACCAAACAGTGAAAGGAAAGTTCCTCTGTTTACTGGAAAAGGAAAAGAAAAAAAAAATATCTTTCTTGTGTGCTTGTCAGAAGCACATCACATGCTCGCAGTAAGCAGCACAAGCTGCAAGAAACAGCAGACCGTAAGCATTAAGCGGTAGACTATATTATGTACTTTTCTCCTATCCACGGCATGTCAAAGAACAGTTCACTGGATAGTTCAAGCAGGCCTCTGAAGTGCTGGCAAATACTTTTCACCTGAGTAAAATGGTGGTAATGGAACAGGAACAACTGGGAAGAGGTATTTAAGGAAAGGAGAGATTCCAAAAAGAATTAACATTCAAACCCACGATAAAAATCAACGGTCACAAGTACATTGGAGAATGGAAGAATGACGCAATGACAAAAAAAAAAAAATGCATTCGACTAAAATCAATTCTTGTGAAATTAGTCTTCTGTTTTATAGTCTCCAGATTAGAACTATCCTTATATAACTATGAATGTCATCATATCGCATGACATTTTAACTACATCCACAATCCAGTCCCAATTGCAATCATCATCCTCTCTTCATTTAACCAATTTCAGCCATTAATTTAAACAAAAAACAAACTACAGGCTGTATCTCTCCCATATTTGCTGTCCTCTCAATAGTATTCACTTAGCAATGAGTATAAAATCAGGCATCCAAAATTGATGTTTTTAGGCTGTTTTCTTTTTCCTAAAAAGCAACGAAAAACATTTGAAATACCTAATATAAAGAATGGAAGTGAAGACCATAAAATTGGAGGTGGTTAATAGAGAAGTGCTTTGTGTTAGGGACATCCTGAAAGTCATAGCATCATACAATAAGCCCGGGTTAATTGTGCCATAGAGGATAAACTGACGTAGCTAAGGTATACTATATGTCGAAGTCAAAATATCTACCAAAATCATGCAAATGCCAGAGTTAATAGAAAATCACCAATACCGTATTGAAATGTACCAACACCCAAACATCATATTTTAAGATATCCCAGAGTACACAACCAACCTCCAAATCTTCCAAGTTTGAATAAAGTCCCTGGTCAAGTTTCCTCCTCACAGTCCCAAAATCCATTGGATGTTCAATAATTTCACGGTAATCAGGTAGCTGCATGGAAACTATTTCTATATCAATTTAAGATATATCAATTCCAAAAATGGAAAATCAAAGTACAATCAGTTTAAATGCGACATTTCCAGAAAAAGCACCTCATTCGGATCAGCAGGTTCTGAGAAAACCCCATAAGTGTCCTTCCTGCCATCAAATGTATATAACCCAAAGAATTAAAATCAAAACCCAAATGTAAGAGTAAAAGAAAACGGATTTCTAAGAAGCTAATAAAGAAAGTCACACACTTTTGAAGCCTGTCAAGAATGAACACCAACAACTTTTTGTCTGGCAAAGGTGTTGCGGGGCCGGACTCCAAAGGCAACCCTGTCCATAAATAAATGGCACAAATTAGACTAACATAGATTAAATTTGCCTTTTTCTTCGAGAATGGAAGATTTAATTGGTACCATGTAGAGCGTCCGTCGCAATCGAAACCTATTCGTCAGCAAAATTAACCCAGTACCAATAGTTAGAAGAGAAACATAATTAGATATAAATCTAGCTGTTATTAAAGATTCAACAACAATAAAAGCCACAGTAAAAAGGTCAGAAGAAGCAGATAATAAAACAACGCCACAACAAGCACAAGTGGAATAACTAAGAATAATTAAAAGAAAAGACAAACTTGAACTTTTCTGGTGTAGTAATAGATAAAGGTCCGATTAATTACAAACAATCAAGAAAATAATAATAATAGGAAGCATTTATACATAGGAACTGTAGACTAAAGCTCATCCACATTTTATTTCACAATCTAAAAAAGAAAAAAATATTTACTCTAGGAAAAAGACCTTTGACCAAGTCAAAACACAAGCACCCACTTCCGATCTAGGAAGTCACAGAAAAGAACCTTCGAATTGCGCGCGAAATCCCAAAAAGATTCAAAACAATTCAAGGTACAGAAACCTCAAAAGATAACCACAAACCATCAAAAATAGGAAAACCAAAAAAAAACAAACGTCTTTTACCATTTTCCAAAAATATAAAAATATTGCAAAGGATTCGAATTTCTAAAAGTAAAAAAAAAAATGGGGAAAACGCCGATGAATAAATATTCACTACCTGATAAGCATCGACGTCGTCAGATCTGTCATTAACAGCATTGATCTTACGTTTCTTGATCGAAGTCTCGTTATTCTCGCCATCCTCGTACGAATTTGAACCCGAATCCAGAGAAGAAGAATGATGAAAATGTTGCTTCAATTGGGGCAAACGAACAACGAGTTTGACTTTTTTCTCTTTCCTCTCATCATCGTCGTCGTTGTCGATAAATTCCGGTGCCGGAGAGAGAGCTTCGGGATTAGGGTTCCGTCGGCTGGATCGACGTGTTGGGGTGTTGTCGAAATTAGGGTTTTGTGGTTGATTGAGAGCGCGCTTTTGGAGGTCTAAGAGAGAAGGACGTCCTTTTTTCTTCTTCTTTCTCTTCGTCTCTGCAGTAGCTACCTTACCCATTCTTGGCGTCTCCTCTCTCTCTCTCTCTCAATCTCTCTCTCTCTCTCTCTCTTTTCCTCTCTCCAGACAGACGTGAATTATTTTTTCTTTTTTTTAAAAAAAATTTTGGCAACACGAAAAATGGGTGAGAGTCACGTGACTGAGGTTGAGTATTCACATTGTCGTTCAGGTTGCTTCGACTTTGAGAATCGAGAGGGTGGCTTCACGCGCTCTTAAAGGGACGTGACTCACTACAATGCATTTCTCGTGCCGGCCTCCCCGTGTGATATTAAATTCAAAACTACAGTCTCCATCCCTGTTTATAAAAGAAAATAAATATTCTAAACT